TGCGAGTGCACGGGTTCGTAATGAATTGAATGCACACAGAACCGATGACAGCTTGCTAAGATTTATTTCCCCTAAAGAAACGCTTTACAGTTCTGGAACTTTACACAAAAGTACAGCTCTTCTCAGTATGACAGAACACAGTTAATAGTTATCACTTCAAACTGTTGAGAACGGGAAACACAACGCAATGCAAAGCGCATTTGAAGAGCGAAGCTCGCATAGAGATCTCAGTACTCCGAAGTCAACACTGAACTGGGAACTGATGCTTTCTTCGGTCTTATTTATTTTTTCACTGGTACTACCACCCGTAATTTCCAGTACTTTCTATTTTCGAAATTACTGGGAAGGCATAGACGGTTACAGTTATATATAAAGGCCGAATACACTTACAGTTACATACAGGTAATTTCATAGATCATGGGACAAACTTGGAGGGGTGGTGGAGCGTACTAAAACATGCATTTTTTTTTATAGGAATGTAGGGTCTAAAGTGACGGGTTAAGGCAGGAACGACACGAGAGGAAAATGTGTTTATGTACAAAATCAACGCAAAGTGCTTCTTTGCAGCAATACAGTATTCACGGTAAATATTCAAAAAAAGGGAACACTAATAGTAATAGGAACTACAACTGTGATTGGCTGGCAATGCAGCGGTAGAGGGCGGTAGTGAGCCGGACAAACCAAAATGAAGTGCATTAAATGTATAATTTACAGCTCTCAAGATTCAGTTAAAATAATTAGTATTTTTATTGATTAGCACCAAGACCGAAGAGGTATTTTTAAAAAGTTTGGGAGAGCGGATTATTTCATCCGAATGCATTTGTCTTTGTAATATAGAAGGCGAAAAGGAATAATTCATTCCGATGTAAACATTTGGTTAACGCATAGTTATTATTTGGGAAAAATCATTACAGGAATTGCATTTAAGTTTTCGAAAACATCTGAAATAGTATTTCGCAGACATTCTTTAATTTCTATCATTTTTTGAGCAGGCTACATAACAGGAATTGCTTTAAACGGTTTTGCGCTCGTTTTTAGGTATTATAACTTCAAGCATTGGTCATGGACGTGCCCTGAGCATTTACTAGAGGAAAATAATAACAGAGTGCAGTTATATAAACAAATAAATTTTAAAAATTCAGCATAAAAGTTAACACGATTAAGCAAGGATTTCACTCTAACAGCATTTTCATTGAAACTCGGTCCATCTTTACCAAAGCATTACTTTTACGAAGAACGCAGTAATGTTGAGTGCTTAGTTGAAAGAAGACAGGTGTACAAATTTTTCTGTGGCTCAATTAGAAATGGAGTGGAAGATGCATCATTAACGAAATTGCCGTGTAGGAAAATACCAAAAGCTTCTAAATAATCCAAAATTGAGAGGCAAAGTCATGCAACAATAAGTTTCATCAAAGTAATTTTATAAGTTCCCCCTGAATGAAAGTCCAGTATTCTGTCTTTCATAACTGAGAAACTTGATTTTATTGGCAGATCTAAAAGAAACCGGGAAACCATGTTGAAGTATTTAGAATCGAAAATAAGAAATTTTTCAGACCTTCATCCTCTATAGCTTTCCGAGTCTTCAAATTAAGGTTACCTCAGTCATTGGTCTGCCTTTCATCTCTGAACTCAGTTGCTTCCTTTTTAAATGTATGGTTTTTAAACTTGTCAGTTAAATCAGATTCTCGCTTATAAAAAGATTGGCCCTATATTCATGGAACATTTCTAAAATTCCTTTCAAATACGGTTTTGCTAAGAAGAAAAGGGGTGTTGGAAAAATATCTGGCAAAAATGCAATGGCAGATATCGTTGAGGTGGTACAGGGTGCTATTGAGCAGGAGATAAAAGCGTTTTGCTGGAGTGAATTGTCTAATTTCGTGCGGTTTTTGAGTAGTAGACATCGTTAGCCGAACCAAGCGTATAATAGCTAAGTGTAGCTCGCTGGCATGCCTTTTTATCTGCAAAGCTGTAGATGGAAATCGAGAAGCTGCTCAAAGGAGGTACATGGGAATCGTTCATTGTACCTGTTTTCCGTAGCTGCTCGGTTTAGCCCATAGATAAAATTCATGTCGGCTAGCTTTGCCTTCCTGTAGTGAAGCATGCTGCTCGAAACTGCCCGGAAAATGACAGTTTACGCCATCTGGACGAATATACCTGTCGCCCAGCAGCGCTGTGTACAACCTCACGCCTCATTTTGGCACACACGTTCCATTACAAAATCTGCTTATTTCGGTCTCTGCTATCTGCCTTTACATTTTTCCTAAGTATTTTCTGAGCACCCTGTATAAAACAAACTCACTTATTTTTGAAATTCAAGATAAATTAGCATATCTGGTATGTATTTGATTAAAAACCGTAACCTTCATTTTCGGAAGCTGAAATTGTAGCTCTCCCTTAGCCCTTCGATTTGGACTTTTTTAGAAGCTTCCAAAATTTTCTTGCTTAGCAATGTCATGAATGCCATAGCTTCCTTTTTGTCCTTATCGGAGGCGCGGAAAACTGTCATCTTTCGACGAAGAACTTCAGCTTCCTCTGAAGCACTGCAAGTTTTACTGTGCTAAAGACAACTAATAGTTGGACTGTCTCAGATTGACGCAACGTGTTGTTAATGGACGAGTCTAGATTTGTCCTGAAATTAGATGATAAGCTTGTTTGGAGAGAATGACATGGAATTAGGCTGAGAACATCACACATTCAGGAGTCGCAGCATTGTGATATGGGATGAAATTTCTATGGGATCCAGCTGCACATCCTTAAAGACTGTGCGGTATCTCGATGAAGTTCTACCCCTCATTCTGAAACTCTTGCAACAGTTGGAGTACCTGGAGAGTGATTCTCGTCGGTGACGAGAATCACTCTCCAGGTACTCGTTAACGATAAAATACGGTGTTAACCGTTTTCCCCGCCAGAAGTCCTTTGAAAATCTTTAGGACGCCCTTAGGCGTGCTGTTTCTGCACGCTTACCTCCTCCAGTCAGTCTCAGATAGTTGGAAACTGCCCATATAGAGGAATGGCCATTGCTAGCATCTGCGATGCTTGGTTACCTCATTGAAAGTATGGGAAATCGCTGTAAAATATATGTGTGAAGATTCGGAATGCTCACATACTCTATTAATGTAAGTTTTGTTTGTTTGTTTTTAGCTTTAAACACCAATTTATTAATGATCCAAATGTGACGTCATCATATAATATCGGAAAATTAAATATTGTTTTCATCTTTGTACTTGATGCTTGTTTTCTTTCATGCGTATACACATTTACTACCTTTATGTGCAATTTGCTGTTCATGAAAGCTTTACTTTTCCATGTTTGTTGATTTTACTGTCTCATGTGTTACTTCTTGAAATCAGTGCACAATACTGCAAATTTACTCACATCACGGTTTTTTTTTTTTTTTTTTTTTTTTTCATTTGGTTTTTTGATGCATTCTTTTGTTACAAGTTCTGTTGAGTTTACTATACCGGCGACATGTTGATTAACCTGTTCCATTCTGATGAAACTGCAGTTAGCGATGATTTATTGCTTTTCTAGGCTAATTATTGCGCTAAACTTTTACATTTGTTTACTTCTATATGCATAGATTTCAAATTTTACATGTATTGCTGGTTATAGGAAAACTAGATACAAAGCAGACCGTAGCTCTATTCTGAGAAGAACCGCCTTCGTTCTTAGGCTTCCGGGTATTATCTTTTCTTCTTAATGGATGTCTTGTACCACATTTATAGAAAATTTGTAGTGCATGGTTACTATGATTGCTTCATGAAAACTATTAGTTCGATTTCTAGGCAGTCAGCATTAACGGTTGTAGCTGACAGAAGTTTAAACCGAGAAAATGGAAGAAATATATTCACAACCAGTTTACAAGAATAAGACTCAAAGTTAATGAGGTGGTTGATAAATTTCAAGAAAGAAAGAAAGAAATTGCTTGCAATACTGTCCGAGTTTTTTTTCTTTTGGGAATATACCATCACCTAAAAGTTAAAATTGTCGAATTCTATTTTAGTTCATTGGATTACTTATAAAATTCTCTTTTTTCATATTGCAATCTGTGCCGTAACTGTAGAATCCGTAAGTAAGAAACTTCCTCCGTATTAAGTATTAGCGGGATGTGTGAGCTACTTATGCGCCGCATTCTGAAATGTGAGTATTCTGAAGATAATGATGCGGAAAGTAATTGTGAAATTCAGATTTGTTGGAATAGATATTGTTAGAAACTGGCTGTTTTAGTTTTCCGTAATTTGCCCATCCACAGAAGAGAAAATCTGGGTTTGACACCGAATCAAGAATATTTTCTCTCTCTCATCCCGCTTATTTTTTTAACTCAATTTTGCATGGAGAAAAACTAGAAGTCTCATTGAAGGTTCTATCCACTTTGAAAGTATTATCTAAGTGAGATTAAACGGTTAAATTAGCGCCAGCCACTTTAATTTAAGAAATATATATATATATATATATATATATATAGTCATTTTACCTTGTTAACAGATAACTTACCTTAGAATTTGAGAACTGAACTAAGTATGAATCAGATTAATAACCTATAGCGTAGAATTGCTCTTGGTTTGATACGTTCTGTGTTGCTTAATGCGTTCAATTTAATGATTTTTGGTAAATATGTATTCAAGAGTTATCAATACAACTGCGTAAAAATTACTTACATATATTCATACATAAAAGTTTATACGTGAAAAAGTATCGCTTTAAAATTTCGTTTTTGTTTTAATTTGTTGTAACGTAAATTGTTTACGAACTGAAACGAATGATGGCATTATTTACCTTGCATTTCATTTATTATGCTGCTCTGACTTTTTTTTTTTTTATTTAGAAGGTATGCGGTATTAAAATTTTTACAATAATTGGTTTTCAGTATTAATTTTTATATTACTTTGTGTAGTACATTTGTTGTTTTATGATTAAGACTTAATTGTGAATGAATTATGCTACTTAATTCTTCATGTGTTTAAAATTATATTCTGAATGCTCTTTCTTTTAATTTTTAGAATTGAGGAAGATGAATTAGTGGCCAAAGATACACAAACTGCCATTCTCCGCCCAGAGAGAGGTTGCGTTGTGCAATAAACCTTTCTCAGTTACTTGCACTTTCAGTACATGGATATGGAGATCACCAAAGCTTTCTGTTAAGCAAGATGCTGACTCCGGAAATTGCTTTATTACACTCTTCAAATGTCCCTTTTCCATCTTCAGTTATATGCTGATCAGTGAGGCAGAGAAAAATATCTTGCTTGAATGAATTTTATGTCATTTTATAAAAACAAAATGATCTGATATAATTATTTTTAATTTTTATTTTTATTCATTATTTCTATGTAATGTTTTAGAATCTTTTTTTTTTTCGCCCTTTGATCATAATAGTGGAGACGCATTAAAATGTGTAATATCTTATGACAAAAGCACAGACCTTATGATCTTAGCAAATGTCCTGCAGTTTTACATTTGTGGCTAGTGTAGTGGTACTATGTGCGTTATTTTTCTTCTTGAATTAGCATTTTTATATCTTTCATGGGTATTTATCAAAGATATTTAAAAAGTGAGATATAATATTTGTTCTTAGGTATTTTTATATTAGTTTTTGCATTTCATAGATTCTATAATGAACTTAATTTGATGGTACTGTTTATAGTTTTGATTATTATTATTAAAACTTGAATGTGGCATATATGAAGATAATGTGAATTTATAAAATATAATTTTCATTTTTTATGATACGTTTTTAGTACTTATGTCATTTTTCAAATTAATAGTTATCTAAGGAAATTTGCTGTGTGTGTTCAGTGTTAAAATATACATATGTTTTCTATGAATTTCTGTTAAGTGTGTCATGTTATTTTGACTTTAATTTCTTAAAATAAGCATTCATCGTGAAACACTTATATACATATATGTACATTTTTATTATATTTTACTTGTTTGTATTAACTTTCTTTTTGTCAACATGATAAAAAAATATGAGAAAATTTAAGTACGTGATTTTCTTCTTGAAAAATCAAGAATTTGTATTCAGATTTCGCTTGTAATGTCTTTACAGCTTTAACTATTAAAAAAAGTTAAAACTATATTTATGCATTGAAATGGCCTGTACTGAGACGTTAAGCCAATGATTTTATAGTTATCTTTTATATTCTTTAGTCATCTTTACATTAGCTGCTCGGTATTAACTATGTGAAACTTCTATGCAAGATAATTTTAATGCTGTATAACTAACTCGTGACTATTAACGGTGGCTTGTTTATACAGTCAGAATTGTATGTTTATATGTAATTTTAGCTAAATCCTGTAGTTTACTAAATGCTATTGTATGTAGTGCATACATTTTGTGTATTTATGTGTCAAAGTGAATGAATTTGTCATTTAACTGCGTAGCTAACGGATATCATCTAAAAAGGATTTTAATTAATTTATTATTAATGTTACAATTTAACTAGGATATTTATGACCAGATAGTTATATTTGTGATAAAAAAAGGGGGAGGCTGTTGGGCTAAGTGAAATTTAATCAAGTGAGATTTCATTCATACTTCATCAACTGACGCATGTTTTACAGATTTTTTACTTTTGCTTACCGTGTGTTATCACCAGTTTTTATATATAATAACTGATTATAACACGCTCAAAATTCAAATAAATGTTGTTTCTTAGAGGTTTATTCTTAACTTTGAAATGTTGTCCATCCCTGGTATGTAAATGTCAAGATTATGATTAGCTTTGATATTGTTAATTTCTGTTGAAAAACAGAATTAGATTGAGCTTTAGAAATGAATGAGATGCAGAAGTGTATTGGAGGTTACTTAGTATCTAATAATCGTAAGTGATGACAAAACTCTTTCTCTTAATGTGAACTGAAGTAATTTCCTTCAAGTCTGTCAGCCTGTGTAAGATGATGACCCACTTTCTAGTTCTGTCCATATGAAATGTATGAAATGAAGTGTATGTACACCTGTCAGGTAATTCTTCATTTTTGATATCTAAATCTAATGAAACTGGAACTTGTTTGTGTCTGGTGGGATATCCTTTATTTTCTATTTCAGTACGCATGGCAAGTGTTGTTGAATAAAGCTTTAAAATGTTAGATCTTGTTTTTTTTTTAATGCAACATGCTTTGAATCAGTTTATCAGTTTATAAAATTGTATTTCCTTCTTAAAGGTTACAATTAATTGTAACTTCACAATACTATAAATATTTATAAATTTACATTTTAATCAATTTCCTTTCCCTTTATTCAAAATAAATCATTGAGAATACAAAATTTACAGCGATCCCTGTTCTATCTATTATACATATTCGTAACCTTATTTAAAAGGCATTTAGAATCTATCTATTTATAATCTAGTTGATTTAATCTTAAATTTCTCTTTAATCTTCTATGCTGAGCATCATCAACAAATGGCTAAGTGTTAATTAAAAAATACAAGTTTTGAGTAAATTTCATTTGTTTTATTTGGAGATGTGTATAAAATAAATTAAATCATACTCGTTCTAGGTTTGTTCGATGCTTTTGAAAATAAATGTTTTTAAATCTTTTAAGGCGAAGCTTAAAGTTTAATGCTTTGAAGAACAAACTCAATAAACTGAAAATATATTTCTGGATATTTGTAATATGTTTGAGCAGTTCAGCATCGTATCAATTTTTCCTGAGTGGTTCTCTTAGACATTTTATAAGATTATAGTGAATTGAATTAATTTATTAAGAACCATTTTTGGTTTAGTTACCTAGAATTAAATTATCTGTTTCCTGAAGTAAATTCTACTGCACGTGTACAGTGTTCTGGCTAAATTCCAGTCTTCTGCCATTTGATATTTCGTTATGTACGATCGCATTTTTATTGCTTCATTTTCTTGCACTATAAAGTTACTCATCACAGTTCAGAGTAAACTTCTGCAAAGCGCTTTTATTAATCATAAAATATTGTTTCGATTTTTCTTGAGAGCACTGAAAATCTTTGCTATCCTTAACAATTCTATAACAATTTTAATACTTCGAGCTTATCTAATCATCCAAGTATTTCAATTCGTCATAAATCTTTGTTTTTATTTTTTCAGTAACAATATGAAAATTAAATTTCCACTGATTATTTAATATGTTTACGAAACGTATAAAATTAGTTTTTATATTATTCTTTGCACAGTGTTTCTTGCAAGCCTCAATTTGGTTTGTTGCTTTATGATTTGAATGAGGATATTCATTTGTATTTGTGCCTGTACATACTGTATTTACATAAAACTGTATATGATTGTTCATATAAAGCATATGTGTTTTATTCCCCCCTTTTTTTTCAAATTCGTTTAAAGTATCAATGTATTGAAATGCTTAAGTAGTTAAGACATGTCCAAGTTTTAATTTGTTCTGAAACAGTTTGCAACACACTGGTGGTGATGAATTTTAAGTTACTGTGACGGTATGTTAATGTGTAAATATTGCATGAAAAAGATGTGTATAGTTTCTTCCCCATGTTTTTATGTTTTAGTCAGAATGTTAAATGAGATTAGTCTGAAATATTGCAAATATTGTGCTCACCGGATCTGATACAGGGATGTTAAATAAACACGACAGTTAAGCAATCTTCAATTTTGTATTAAATGTATGCATATATAATAACTCCAAAGAAATGTGTTAGAGATAGTGATCACTTTCCTGAAGTTTGTTGCGGAAAGTCTAAACTTTCTTCAGATAGAGCTTGATTGCAGTTGTAAATAATGCATAGAACTACTGTTATACTAGTAATTACTGTTAAAGCTTTATGTAGCTAACCCCTTGATTTTAGGTTTTGTGTCATTTTATCTCTTTATTTTGCTGCTACATGCTTTTTGTTTTACCGTCTGCTTGTGCTAAAAATAAATAAATAATTTTATGTTAGGAAGCTACTAGAAAATAATTCTTTTTTATTCCTTGTATATCAATAGATGGTTTGAATAAATGTTAGCTGAACAACTTAAGGTCGAGAATGGATATTTCATTATCTTTATGTAATGCTGTTGTATATAAAATTAGATTAAGTGCGATTTATACAGTTTATAAATTTTAAATGTTATAGTCTCATTGCTTTAATTGTCAGTTTTACAGCTATCTATGAATTCTCACTGTGTAATCTGCCTTTGAAACTAATCATTTTGGACCAAATGGCCTTTTGGCAGTTACTTATAATCAGCTTGTCATGTACTCCATAATGACCTTGACTAGATTCTAGCGATCATGTTTAAGTTTTATTTGATGTCTGTCATTTTAAAGAAAAGTTTCTGGGAAAAAAACCTTTATGCATGTAGAGAATAAGAAGTTTTCAGTTTCAAACTACTACTTTCTGAGAAACTTTCCTCTCTTGGTAACTTTTCTGTAATTTGGAATAAAAATCTAGTTTGTATATCATTTACTCTTATTGAAGAAATGAGAGACATTTTCTGTCTTTATTACTTTTTATATCTGAATGAAAATTATCTTCATCATCAGTGATTAGGTAGGAAAAAGAATAAAATTGCAAGTGCATGCTAGAAGTATATTAAGAATCTCTTTATACTTAGCTACAAACAATATTTCCTATCCTCATTGTCATTTTACAAGATCACATTATAGTATGACCGATTCTGAAATACAAAAAAGAACGGGATCCTTTCGAACTTCGTATGTTGGTACTGTATAAATTGCTGATTTGCTGAAATTTTGCTTTCAGCTGAATAGTGTTGGTAATTAACCCACTGAGCACATGTGTGTCTTAAGATTTTGCAAGTGTAATTATTTCTTCATTTGTCATCAAGGACTAAATTGCACAAAGTGAAAAGATGACAAAAGTCGCCTTAAAAGGTATTGATAGTTACAGAAAATGTGAAGAGCTGTTTCACATTTCAATAATTTGTGGAATTTCGAAGAATGATTGGAATTCAAAGAAAACCGTTAGTTTATAATAAATTTGAATGTCGTTGTAGTTTGTCTGCCAAACATTGTCTTACCAAAATTAATTGTTTATTACAGACAGAATAAATCGATGAACGGGAATCCATTTGCTATCCTGTTGCTAAATCGATGAACGGGAATCCATTTGCTCCATTGTCACCGAATGTTTCTATAATGCATTTATTATAACTTTTCATTAAAATTTTTCTGTCACCTATGTCCAAATACATGGTTTGTATTTCAAGTAATGAACTTCGATTTCGGGTTCTTGCTTCTGTTTTTAAATTTTTTTTAATCGAATTTTTGGTCTAATTTATATTTTAATGGAAACTGATGATAATTAGCAGATAATGCCAAAGAGTTTCATATTACCTATGTTGAATATTTTAATTATAAATTGTAAGTAAGTTTTATTATTGAACATACTTATCAGTATTATAAATTTTCGTACACTACAGAAGCCGTTTCGCATAATTCATATCGTTGATTATATTTTCGTCTTTTTGCATGTATTTCTAAATATTTCATTTACTGATAAATCAAAAGTGCCAATTTTTATCGAATTTATAAGCAGTCGAACAAAAATCATTGTAATATCGAATGAAAAGCACTAACCAAATAAAAGTTACTCATATATTGGAGATCACAGTTACACTTAATTAATATATCTGTTGAGTTTTATAAACTGTGGTATAAATTATCTAGTATTTTATTCTTGTCATTTCTCTCCAGTGCTAACTGTTGGTATAAATAACACTTTAACAAATTGACAAGCCTTTGAAAAATGGTAACTTTTAAAGTTTTTAATGTTATTTATCAGCGTAATGTCCATGAGATGCATCTTGATTTATGATTTTATGTTTATGGCTCTCCAATTTTAGAGGCCTCTGAAAGATTATTCCTTTTTATTTCAGCAATTAAACTTTAATTTTTCGTGTTGCTTGGCATATGTGCATAGTAATTTTCAAGTTAAAAGAAATAGAATAGATTTTTAAATTTTGTATGCTTGATTTCTGTTTAAATGTATTGCTTTTTTGAAATTAGTAATGAATTGCAATTGTGGAGTATATGTTTCCTTTTATGTAACAAAGCAGTCAACTGCCGATAAAATGTATTAAAGCCTGAAGAAAGCACAACTTGTGGACTAAAATGTGGTGAATTCGAGGATTATAATATGACGATTTTTTTAATGTGACTCACATATTATCTTGGCTATTTATCTGTCAGATACTACATCTCAGCCCAAAAGTTGTGCTTTATAGCAATCAGATGGTAATTATTTACAATGAAGTGTATTGTTCAGTATCTCAGGTATGTATTTTGCTGAGCTATAGCTTATTTAAATTTTAATTCTTTAAAATAAAAAATTTTCAATTTGTCTTTGAATATTAACTAACAGTTACAGGCATTACTTTGTAAAACAAGTAATCTATATTAAGTCGAGATTAAGATACATTTTTTTGGAATAGTATTTATTTCTTATTTGCAAAACTGAAACTTCATTTGTGCCTGTGAAAATTTAAACCAATCTTTTCGTTTGAAAATTTTACCGATGAATCAGAACTGTGCATTACCCTGTTAAATGTTTTCATCGAGCTGGATTCAAAAAGTTAATATTAGATTAACAATAAGGAAATATACGACATCCATGTTATAGAATATTTAAGAAGTTAGAAAAGTGCAAGAATTTTTTTATATTTGTTTTCTATAAATAAATTGTAAAATTCGATTAATGTCGATTTTTGAAAGACGGTAAAAATAAAATTTAAATCATCTGCAGTTCAGGAATGTTGTTCTTGTAAATTTAAGTCTTTTGATTTTTGTATGGAAGGAATATAAATCTTTATTTCACAATCATCAGTGTAAATCTTTGGGCTTCCTCTAAGAACGTGAATTACCCAGAAAAAGTAATTTTCGAGTTTCTGTGCTTTCTGATAACAAATTAAGTTATTGGAATAAGAATAAAAGACCAGTGTCAACTTTTTTAGGGTTCACAAGATCATGAGTGATATTTATTTCATCCAAATCAAAACAAAATTTATTCAGTGCTTTATTTTTAATAATAATGTTTCTCTTCGTGCCGTTTATAAAAACTTAAATCGTCTTTAACTGATTTTTATAAAGAAACTCAAGTGCTGTTAAACAAAGAAATATATTAGTGTCGGGCAAAGTAACACAGAAGAAATGAATTAATGTAAATAAAGTAACTTCGAAAAGAATAGAAAAGTATGAAAAAAAAAATCAGGCCGTCATAGCATGTAAAATGCTATCTGTCTCAATTTCCTGCTTTCTTTCCTTTGTTTCATTTTGTTTTATTTATACAGACGTATGCACATAGTAAAGCTCTTTAATGAAGCAGTAGGAAATACAAATATTTGTTTATTACATTTTCGTAAGCAGGCGTATTATTTAGTAGTCAACAAATGTGCTGTTGTAACTGCATTGATTACATATAGGATAGTGAGAAAGATAGAACAGTGCTGTTGATAACGGTGCAGAACTTTCTTATTAACATTTTTATTTTAAAATTAAATGGATATTATTTATTTTAATGTTTCTTTACCGCTTTATTTATTTAAGTTGTATTTCTTGTAATTTTGAGCTTCCAAGGTTTTGAAAAGTGGAATAATAATGTTAATAACATTGTGTTCTTTCTGCTATTCTTGATATGTTCAAAGTACCAGAGCAGTTTGAAAATGGTCTTCTTGAGGAGAGATGAAAACTTAGGATTGATTTCAAGAGTCTGAAAAATCGAATAATCCGAATATCTTCTTATCCAGTTAGTCCGAATTAGCACAGGTTTGCTATGCATTTTGTTGTTACAGATGTGCGCGTTTCGTCGTGTAGATGACAGTGTTATATATCTATTTGCGACGCATTAATGATGATTCTTGATGGCTTTATTGATAATGATTACTATATCTTTTTTTAGTGAATTTTTAAACTTATTTTCTAATAATTTAGATTCAAGTATTTTGGTATTAAATTACTATAATGGTACAAATGTAGTTTCAGTTAATAAAGTTTTGTTATTCGTATGTATCTGTAAATGGTTGTGAAATTTTATTATGGAATATTTATTTACATACTTAACTTATATGTACCATATCTAATGTTTGTGATATGCCGAATTGTTCCTTTTCGAAGAGTTAATATTACACATAGACTGAAATTTTAAGTTCGAGTCAGAAATTTTCTGCTAAGCTTCGATTCTTGCAGTGTGCTTGCTTATAATGTACAATCGATAAGTAAATATGCAACGTGCTCTTTTGTAGCATTGCGAGGGTTCTGAATTCCCCCTCGTGGTGCTGGTCTTGCCTTTGTCTATGTGATAAGCTGCCTTGTAGTTATGTCATGTGTTTTGTGAATAAATATTAAAAGCTTCAATAATTTGCAATGTTAAATACGTGTCAAAAATAAAAAGCGAATGTTTGAATAAAACTGTGTCCTAGTCTTTGAATTACTCTCATTTTACTTCTCTTTGTTCTTTGTGGGGTTTTATTTAATTTTAATTAATAGTAAATTTTATTTTGGAAACAAACTCTCGTTTTCAACCCACGCTTTCTTGCCAGAATGAGATTTTAGTTTCGCGTATTATATAAAATAGAGAAGAAAGCTACTATTTAAACTGGTGTCTGAGTTACTTCAGACAGAGCGTGTTCTGCCTTTCGGCCACGTTGTTTCTCTGCTAGTTGAGCTTGCTATTTTACGGCCGTGCATATTAATTGCCGGTTAGTCTAGGTCGGTGGTAGCCAACTGGCGTTAAATATCTCTGTGCAGTTTCGGCTGATCTTATTCAACGTAGGATTGGTTTTAAATTTACGTTTTCTATTTTGAGTTGCCGCCAAAAGTATTGTTGAGGCCCTGTATTCACCAGGAGTACCATCTGCTTATATTATTCTTGAGTTGAAATAAAAAGGTCTTTTTACTCTTCGTATGTGTTGTTCCTGATACAGTAATTAAACAAAATATATTATTTCAGTAATTAAACAAAATATATCTTGTAAAATATGAAATATAACCAGAGCCTAATTTTAGTATTCATATGAATTCCAGTAACATTATGACATTGTGTAACATTATGACATTTTTTGAATATTTCTTTTAAATCCAGATGGATACGCATATATCACCATATAGAATTTCAATTGCGAAAACGGCCTTTAATTTTTTATTATCTTCGTTCTTCTGTTTTAGTAGGCGGAAGTACTGTAATACTTTGCAACAACATCATTAGTAGTATATAAACTATGGTTGCAAATAAGTTTATTTCCGAGTACCATGTAACAGAGCGATACAAACTTCACTGAGCTAGAATTGCCTGAATGATTTATGCATAGCAAAGGCGAAAATTCCCGATGACACTGTAACATGCTCAAATTATATTTTAGAGATTGACTGAACTTTAGACCTCTCATTTAATGTCGTTTAATCGCAATATTGTTAAAATAGTGGTGTTTCCAACTGTTTTACCAAAACAACTTTTCCTATTTAGTAAATTGGGTGTTTTATCTCCCTGTGTATTTTAATCGATCTGTGTGTATTTATATGACTAGAAAGAGTGATCAGTGTTATTTCACTATATACTTTTGCAGCTTTATATATAACAAAACCCACAACGACTAGTCTTGTTATTTCGTTCTTCATTATCCTGTTCACTGTTAATCACTGCGTCTAGAATGACTTGACTTGTCGAGAATGTCATAAAATCCTGTAACTTCTATCTTTTTTGTTTTCTACATCCGCATTTCTGTCTTCTTTTAATTCGCAGAAAATAATTCAGACTAAATCTGAGTCTGTTGCGTCGTCAGAGTATTTCTCCTTTACGATATCAGAGATAGTTAAATAACCTATAAATTTAGCGGAAAAGCAAGTGGCATTAAAAAATGTCATATTCTCATCCTATTAAAAAAATAAATATCGGAAGAGAGTAAAAGAATTTTGCAAAGTTTAAAAAAAAAAAAAAAAAAATGTAACTTCTTTCTCTTCGGAAGGAGTGGCATGCATCAAAAACATTGTAAGATTGTAAATGGCTAATTATTTTCTTAACAGTAACAACCAGAATAAAGTTGTCATACTCGTTTACTGATTTCTTAGATAAATTTGACTAAGTAACCCTCATTTTAAAACATTTTTGAGTATACATAAATAATAACAATCAGTTTTATAGCTCATTTAACAATGTTGTGGAAATATGTATCTGCTTTTATTCTCAAATTGCATACTATTGATTTCTATTCATTACGTAACATTTCCTTCCATTATAAGGAAACTCTAGATGTCTTACAGTTGAGTAATGCAATATAACTCAGATTCGATAGTATAGTGTTATATGCAATAGGTCATGGTCTTAAGTTATTTTTGCAGTTGTAATGTCAAACTTCTTGGAATTAAAAGCTCTACTAAAAACTTAAGTTCATGAAAGCACAAGTAGTGGCTGAAAATTTGAGATTTTACAAAAGGTACAATGAAGAAATGCATAAAAACTAAAATGCGAAAAATTTAAGCGCAGCTATTTATATAAATTATATTATCTTTCTCTTCGTAAAGTGTACACATCCTGGACTGTCCAGTTCTCAAGACCAGGAAAAATTAACCGTAATAAGGAACAAGTCCATATTGACTTCAGATTTAAAAGATGGAGTTGTGTATGCACCATGCATTGGTGAATTTTTTTGATCGCACAGAAAGGCACAATCTCCTCAGTCATTATGTTGATCGTTCTCTGACTGAATTAATGAAATTCTAAATGCAACGCGTATGTAGGTCTTCCGGTACTGCTCAGGCGAAGAAGGCATGTTTGATAATATTCAAAGAGCAAGGCCACAAAGCAGATGAATACCAGGGCCATCTTTCCTGATGTCAAAAATCCGGTGTTTTCCTAAACAGCATTTTGAAGCATTAGCAAGAAAAAGGGCAGTGTTTGCTTCTAATCCTGTTGACTCTAGAATATGAATAATGACATATGATCGAGGGCTTAATTTCTAAATTTAGATGTGCTGGAGCCTTATGAAAGGCCTTCAGGAAAGAGGAACAAAAATAAATAACTAATAAAATAGTAAAAGAATTAATAATTAGTTACTTTATTATTTTATTTATTAATTATTACAAGCTAGCTGACAGGAAGTTGCTAAACCGGGCTTCAGCTGAATGTATAGTGCAATATATTACTTCAGGGGTTGTTAGAAACAAAAATCATTCTTTATCTAACACGCCCAATTGAAAAACTAAAACGATTAAAGCTTCACTATTGCTCCACTAGTAGTGTAAGCTTCCGATCACTTACAAAAATAGCCAATGAAAACTAGGATGCTGTTAGTTTTTTGAAGTAATGATGCAACAGTTTCCGAAGCGATCCTTTCTAGAGTGCTTTGATCAAGCTCGTATACGTACACTGCTCGACATTGAAAATGCAACATCAAGAAGGAGTGGTCAGAAAGTGATGACATTTGGAAAAAAGAGACAACAAGCAGCAATAAGTGATCTTTATTTCAAAATGATAGTCAGAATACAGAGCGAGAACGGCGTCGGCTCAATAGGATGTAGGACCACCGCGGACAGCGATACACGAAGAAACACGTCTAGGCATAAAATCAATAAGAGTGCGGATGGTGTCCTGAGGGATGGCTCTCCATTCCCTCTCAACCATTTGCCACAGTTCGTCTTCTGAACGAGGCAGGAGCAGAGTCTGAAAACGGCGTCCAATCACATCCCACACATGTTCGATGGGTGACAGGTCAGGAGAGTACGGTGGCCAGGGAAGCGTCTGTATACCTTGCAGAGCATGTTGGCAGATGCGAGCACTGTGTGGTCGGGCGTTATCCTGCTGAAAAATTGCATTAGGCAGCCCCTGAAGGTAGGGGATTGCCACCGGCCGCAGTATATTATCCAAGTATCGTTGGGCCGTCATAGTGCCCTGAATACGAACTACAGGTGACCTGGAATCGTAGGCAATAGCGCCCCAAACCATTATGCCACGTTGTCGCACGATGGGGCGTTCCACAGTTACTGCCGGATTAGATTTGTCTCCACGTCGACACCATACACGTATGTGGCGACTCTCACTGGATAAACAGAAGCGTGACTCAACCGAGAACATGACGTTTCGCCATTCTGTCATCCACATCGCTCCAGTCCGGCACCATTCTAAACGTTGGCGTCTATGCTGTGGGATCAATGGCAGTCTTAACGGACGCCGTGAGTGCAGGCCACGTTCAACCAATCTACGGGGAAATGGTTCTGGTCGACACGGGAATATCCAGGGTATCTTGCACATGCTGCAGAATTGCGGTACAAATGATTTGCGGGACCTCCACAGCTTGTCAGCGGATGCGTCGATCCACGCGTGCTAACGTCACTCTGGCTGCACCTGCACCCCTCCTTCTTCCCACATTTTCTTGTTACAACCATGTTCGCCATAGTCGATGCACCGTGCTCGCATCCATGTGGGTATCAACTGCGATTTTACGTAAGGACCAACCCGGCCTTTTCAGTCCGATCACCATACCCCTCGTAAAATTGTCTATATGCTGGAAGTGCCTTCGTTGACGGTGGCCTGGCATTCTCTCCTATTACACGTATTCTCCGGGACAAAAACCAACTTTCTTCGATAATTCGTCTGGCAGAAATAAACGACACGAATATTGCCCATTCTGCACGTTCCTTCCCTTTTATCGGAGAGCTGCGCATTTCACATCATTCGCATAACTCAGCGACGTGCGTCTCTAAAATTTGCATAAATTTCTGACAAATCCTTCTTGGTGTTGCATTTTCAATGTCGAGCAGTGTATTTGCGGCGGTTTCGTGTTGCAAAAGTATCACGTGGCTTGCTTGCACCATTTTTCTAGGTCTGCTTTGGATTTGCTCCAGAGAAAAGGGCCTGGAACTTTACACCAAAATTACCTTTAAAAGGTGTACTCTGAAGCACTGACAGACTCTGGAGTCTCGGAATCTTGGTAAAATCAGTCATCTGAAAGTCTTCGTCGTCAACTTCCCATTGGCGGTTAAAAATCTCCCATCTGCAAGTGAAAGTAAATCTCGCAGAGTTTAGTACTTTTTTTTTTTTTTTTTTTTTTTTTGTTACATTAAAGATTTGCCATCTCATGCCAACTGGGTTTTCTGCTAAAAACTTCAATTAAGTTCATTAATGATCTCAATTCAGAATAAAAGTTTCCTTTTATTTCACAAAAGAAATGAAAGTTTATCCATATACTCAATTTAAATACTCAATTTAAATTTAACCTAAATCTACAGTTTTCCTTGTTTGTTAAGCTATACTGATATAAACAGTCCACTGTACATGAACAACATTTCGCTGACTAGCTTATCTGTAGGTGGGGAGCGACATGTGATATTGGGTGCGTATTGCAGGTGCGCAGAAGTCTAGCAAAAACGTGAAGCATAGGATAGATGTTCTTTGGTAGAAGAACGATTCTTGAGTC